CCCCAAAACCCCAAAACCCCATAATGATCTAATTGGCGCACATATTCGAAATATATTATAAAAAATTTAAAATGATGAAATCAAATAACTAGGTACAACTTAGGACCTAGAAAATGATATCTCTTCTTTCTCTTTTGTTAATCCCTCAACTCGTCTACTCAGTCAACACTGATCTTGTAGATTATAACAAATTTGACTTGGACTCTGGAGTTAAAGATATAATGTGGTGTGGATCAAGTAACGAGATGATTTTGGTTTTGTCTGAAAAAGGAAATGTATACAGATCAAGAGACAGAGGGGCGTCATGGAAGAAAATCCAGCAAGCTCTAACTCTTAGTGGGTCAAAGGTTGCAGATGAGAATCAAGATGTAAGAAGAAAGATATCATAAATTATTTTTAGGTCGGTGAGGTAATTAGTTTGATGCAGAGTCCAAATGATGACTCTCTTGTTGTTCTCATAGGTATAATAATTTGAATTTAAATAGATTAGGAAGCACGGGAATCAATTGGGTAACCGAGGATTGCGGTGCTAATGTTAGAGCTTTGAACTCAGGAAAGAGAATCCATGAGTTTTAATTCCATCCTACAGAGAAATATATGGCCTTAGCTGCTACATGGACTGACTGCTCAGAATTCGGAGATGATCCCTGCAAGATATACAAAGAACTTTACTTCACATAAGATATGGGCTAATCTTGGAAATTCCTCAAGGAATACGTATATGATTTTGCTTGGGGCTATACAGCTTAAGCTCAATAGAATAAGAATAATAAATTGCCAAAGGAACGTATTTTCATCACTCATGATCCAAAAGCCAGTGGTCACCAAAATTAAGACAGAAAGACATGGTCCCCAGCAGTAAATTTGTACTACTCAGATGATTTTTTCAAGTCAAAGAAATTAGCATTAAATAACGGAAACAGTATAATCAAGACTGAATTGTATATGTTTATAGCAAAGGCTAATATAAGAGAGTTTGTTGAGATATTTGTCTCAACCCAAGAGAATGGCTTCATTGATTTCGAGAGAGCAAAGCTACCAGTCGATGCCTTAGCCTCTAAATCCTTTACCGTCATGGACACATCAGAGAATTCTGTATTTTTACACGTGTAAAATCACGGACCTAATACACCACTTGGTAACATCTTCATTTCAGATGGGTTTGGCAGAAACTATTCATTATCAATTTCTAACGTACTTAGAGGTATGGAATTAGTTGATTTTGAGAAGGTTAACTCTTTAGAAGGAGTGTTTTTAGCCAATAAGTTCAATATTGACCATTCTCATGACACTGAATTTGATAGTAAAATTGGAGGTAAAAAGAAAACTCTCTCAGAGAGCTAAATTGTTTAGGAAAGAATGAGTCAGTTGAAAAGAAATAAATAAATTAACAATAACAACATCAATAAGAAGCAATAGCTAACTAAGGAATCGTTTATTAAGGAGGGTGATGAATTTGAGTTGAAAGATCTCCAATAGAGTATTAGAACATTCATCACTCACAATAAAGGTGGTAAATGGGAATTGATAAAAGCTCCAGGGGAAGATTCACAAAATAAAAAGATTAACTGTTATGTAGAGGATGATTGCTCTCTCAATTTGGAAATATATTCTAGCAACGGTAAGTTTGCTCCACCTTATTCTCAAGAGAGCAGTATTGGTCTAATCATAGCTGTTGGTAACACTGGAAAATAACTTGAGAAAAAGCAGCAAGGAGACATCAATACATATATTTCAAGAGATGGAGGACTTAATTGGATAGAAGTAAGAAAGGGTTCTCATATTTATGAAGTAGGAGATCATGGAGGCCTCATAGTTATGGCTAAAAATGATGGTTTGACCAAAGAGGTTGTATATACCTACAACGAGGGACTCACATGGCATACTCTTGAAATTTCTTCTGAGCCTTTCACTGTAACAAATATCATTATTGAACCAAACAGCATATCATAAGAATTCGTGGTCTATGGTACTTACTATGATTTCAGTACAGAGGTCCCTAAAGGATTTGTCGTGACAATAGACTTTAAGTCAGTTCATGAAGCTCAATGCAAAGGTGCAGATAGACCAGGTGACTCAGACTCTGATTACGAGCTTTGGACACCATTCGATGGTAGACATGGAGACCAGAAATGCTTTATGGGGCAATAAATTACATATATAAGAAGAAAACAATCCTCAGAATGTTTCAATGGTGAAGAACTTGAAAGAAAAATTTTGAGATCTTTCTGTCAATGCACTGAGATGGATTACGAATGTGACTATGGATTTAAAAAGGATGGAAGTCAATGTATCAAGGAAGACTGGATTCAGGCTGGTTCTGCCAAAGCAAATGAACTTACTGAATAATAGCAAGCAATGTGCAATGCTAATGGATTTTACACAGTCAGCTAAGGTTACAGAAAAGTTCCAGGAAATAAATGTATTGGAGGCATTGATCTTAACCCTACAGTCTACTCATGTTCTCCTGTAGCACTCTTCTCCTTCAGATCTATCCTATACGTCGTAATTATCTTCGGCATTCTATATTTTGGTTGGCCTATAATTGAGGCTGTTCTTATTGCGCTTCCAATCCCTGATCCAAAAGACATTAAGGAGAAGATCAAGTCGTTCTTCAACTCAGCCATGCAACAAAAGAACAAGTTCCAATCAAGTTCTTCAACTAAGAAGAGCAATTATGCTAAAGGCTTTGGCTAAGCTCCAGAAAGTTTGGGAGATAGCTCAGATGAGGAAGATACAGGTAAAATCAACAGCGTTCAAAAACTCAGCTATGATTCAGATGATGACAAGGATCATCTTAAGGATACTGATCTGATATCTCTCGATGGGCCTACTACTAGAGATAGAACTGGTACTGCAGCAGAAAAAATTCCTAAGCTTCAAAAACCGTAATGAAAAGTAGTATATCACGTGGTTATTATTTTCAAATAAGTATTTATATATATAAATCTGATTCAATAGCTAGAATTATGTGTATCTCGGGGTTTTGGGGTTTTGGGGTTTTGGGGTTTTGGGG